GGTTGCTACAAAAGCAAAAAAATCTATACCATTAGTATTAATAATTGAGAGTAAAAGATCCTTCTGTTCATTACATTAAAAATGTTAATCAGGATCAAAATTGTAGATGCAATGCAACAAGATGATAGTTTCGTTAAATTATGAAGAAGTGAATTTTAAGACAAATAAATTATATTTAGAAAACACCCATTCTAAAGAGGCAGAAAAAAACACCTTCAAGATTCGAAGGCTTGAATTTATTGTATTGTTTCAGATGAGTTATTAAATATTAGACAAATTTATTATGAAGCTTTAGATTATTTAATTGTAAGTATATAAAAAAATGTTTCAACAAACCAGTAATAATTCATTTAATTAATAAGGGGCAATTTGCGATCCAAAAACCTGATGGAAATCATGTTTCAAAATTCTATTTAGAAGATTTTGAAATGGATCATCAAATTCTTCATATAGATATGTTTTTGGACTACTCACAGTAGGGAAAATATACATTAATTTAGAGGACGATAACCATATTAAAAGAACCAAGAAAGAAAAAATTATTTAGATTTAGGAGTAGGCCAAATTTATTAAAATGCTATTAATACTTCCCAAATGTGATTGTTCTGTAAAACGGTCGTTATCAGGACTAACACGTCATAAATCTTATTCATGTTTTACGGTAAATTAGCAAAATCATATGGCAATTTTAATTGTTAATAAAGAAGCAAAAAAACCTTATTTTGAATATTTTTATAAATTAAAATATGAAGAAACATATTTTATTAAAAAAAATTGTGCTGATATTAAATATCGGTTCAGATCGGCACCGATATTTAGTGTTTTCAAAAATTATCGAGGTCGATAATTTTTACCCGATCCGATATTTTTGACTATATGATTATATATAAAATTGTATGATTTTTTTTTATAAATAATTTTATAATAAATTAATGAGAAGAACTAAAATACAATTTATTTGTTATAATGTTTAAAAAAAAATTTAGCACTAAAAGAATTTTAAAATACCTAACCAATCACATTCAGTTAATGTTGTTAAACGGGTAGATTTAGCCAATTTTTAAAAAAGGAACTAAAGATTTTAGCCAAAAGTAAATTATTCAAGAATATTTACTTTGCCCACATATGGCAGAGTTTGGACTAATTTTAATATTTTGGCTAAGGTCTAGATTTCGTTATATTTATAAATCGGTCAAATGGAACTATTTCATAACACTACACATTCACACATAAACATTGCAAACATTTTAAATAAGATTAATAACTTTTGAAGAATAAAAAAACAAAATACACTTAATCATTATTGAAAGTGATATTTTTATGAAATTGGTTCAAGGAAAGATGTTAATAAAAATCAATATAAATATCGGATCGGTGAAGAATTTGTGTATCGACATAGCGCTAGTTCTTTTTTTTCTTTGGCCTTTCCTAGACAATTCGATGCTTGTTGGATAAAAAAATACTTTATTCATGCACGTAATTCCTATTCTAAATGCTTAATCTCCATATTTTCTTATAATTAGTTTTTTTTTTAAATCAACGCGAAAATAAATATTTATGACATGACAATATAGATAAACATTATCCTTTTGCATTAGAAGTGGTTTCCTCCATGTTATAAAACAGAGTGAGGTCTAACTGCATTTTATATTTTTAGGAATTTATTAAAATTATGTAATTTAAATTAGAAAATAAATTCTGAGAGGAAAAATATATTTTAATTATTATAAAATACTCAAAAAAAAATTTCATTATAATATTAGGTTACATTTCAAAATGCCCCAAAATACATAAGCTACTAGCTTAGTTTAATATAGTAACATTTGCATTTCGCTATTGTCCATCTCTGAACGCAGCTAGCATTTTTTTAAACTCAATATGCTACAAAACAATATGGCATCCTCAATTCAACGTATCATTTGGTGCGCGCCTGATATCCATTAACAAACAAATGGTGACATATAAGACCTGTTGCTAGGCTCAATATTCAGAAGTAGTTAATAAACGATTAATTTTTTTTATTGGAAATCATTTGTCTCTTTGAAATATAAATTTTTAGTTGACATAAGATGATCAGTTAGGCAAAAATGTAGATCCCCCACCTTAATTATCAATTATATATTAATTTGTGAGACTCAAATTTAATATTCTAATTGTTTTCGCTTTTAATTAATAACTTATTATTTAATGTTCGAAGGGGCGTATTTTTGCACCATTAACTTAATTACTCGGGTATTATAAAAGCTAGTGCTTTAGATTTATATTTTAGAAATGTTATGAATGATTATTATATAGTGAATAATATAATATTCGTACAAATTTTTATCGGTGCGAGATTTAAAATAAATATCTAATAACTTATTTTAAGAATAAATTTTTTTTTAAAATGGCGTGACACAATCGATATTTTATATATCTTTAAATGGCATTCGTAGACGAATTATTTTTTATCTAGCTTTAAAATCTAATAAACAATATATATGGTGAATTCCATATCAAATCAACCAAAAAAAGTCGATTCTCAACCCGACCCTCTTCAATTTTTCTTAAATTTTGCATAATGGTAGTATAAACTATAACTAAGAAAAAAATGAAATTTTACCTCCCAACAAGGTTTACTCGCTAAGATATGGGCGTTTAAAGCGCGGAAAAATAGTACATTTTTGACAAAATGTGCCTCATTTATTTTCAAATATCTCGAGAAATAATTAAGTTAGAAAAATAATTTAAATTTTATTATGTAGCTTAATAATAGTTCTTTAATATGACATAAAAATAAATATGATATAAATTTGATGAATGTCCAAAACCGGATGTATAAAACCGGAAATGGCCATAGAAAAAAAAAGGTATTTTTTTTTCGAAATTTTTTTTCCGTAGATAGATATAACACTGCTTTATATTTGTGCCAAATCCTAGCCTGGGATGAAAAAGGGTCTAGGAGTTATGACTCTTTATATGGCTTAAATTGATCAAAAATATCTTCATTTAATGAATACTTATGAAATAATGTTTTTTTTTAAATTTTGTCTAAATGATAGGCCCTAACTTTTTTTTATTTTTAATTGTTAACATGTTGTGACTGAAAATTACTTGACAAAATAATTCTAAACCAATTTATAACTTTATTTTTCTGAAATGCATAATTACATATAATATAATAATTCATAATTATGTTTACAATATATCATATATTAAATTATCTAAAGAATTGGTATAAATTTTGACTTTAATTTTATTTTCATCAAGGGGAATATAAGCATGGTATTTTTGTGTTCCCGGAATTCTTTTTGCTCTCAAAAATCTGCATTATTTGTTGCAAAGTTGAATAAATCCATTGGTGTCAAAATATGGTTTTGATATGGCAGTTGCAAACTAGCTTGAGCTGCTAGTCGTTTTGTAATACCTCCTAAACTGTCGCACGGACTTATTCCATGAGCTGTAGCAAAAAAATGCCACTCGGCCTTTATACCAAAATCACATTCATGATTATAGAGATTTATGAAATTTTTTTTATTTTTATATTGGATTACGGCCCCAATCAGAAAAATAATAAATTTTGGTCAATGTATCAAATCTTTCTTTTAAAAATAAGATCATTTTAGTTTGAAATAAATAAAAGGCACAGGCATTGTGCTTTAAGCAATCTGATATCACCACTAAACTTATATGTTTTATAGTGTTGTCCTGACGATAATAAATGATAAAAGGGTGAATAGTGGACTGATTATTTGTCCAATGAAATCCCTGTGCATGGTCTTGCACTAAAAATGCATAATTTTCCGAAAAGTCAGCAATAACTAAGTATTCGCCAACATTTAAATTAGATTTTAAATTGTTTTGAAATAATGATTGTTGTGATGCTATAAATGAATGTGGAATCAAATTGTCTAATTTCTCAATTAAATAATCTAGGAATTTATAAGCTGATTTTGTCAGCGTTTCGAGCGTAGTTCTATCAACTACCAACCATTGTTTAAATGATATATAATCTATTGAATTCGTATCAAATAATATAATAAGTCTTTCTTTTATTTGGGATGATCCAGGACAAAATTTACATTTATTGAAGTAACATCCAGGCTGGGCAGGATTGCAAAGACTTTGTGCAATACAATGTTTATAATCGTTTATTGGAGGATAATTATAATGATCATTATTGTTTGTAAGCTGTTTTAATTTTCCCCCTATTAAAATAAGCTTAAAATTTTGGTGTAGTGTGCAGATACACATGGTATGTGTACCTGGACCACCTGCTAAAACACAGTTTTTGGGTCGTAAGAATGCAAATCTATTCACTCACAATATGTTAACAATTAAAAATAAAAAAAAGTTAGGGCCTATCATTTAGACATAATTTTTAAAAAAACATTATTTCATAAGTATTCATTAAATGAAGATATTTTTGATTAATTTAAGCCATATAAAGAGTCATAACTCCTAGACCCTTTTTTATCCCAGGCTAGGATTTGGCACAAATATAAAGCAGCGTTATATCTATCTATAGAAAAAAAATTTCGAAAAAAAAAATACCTTTTTTTTTCTATGGCCATTTCCGGTTTTATACATCCGGTTTTGGACATTCATCAAATTTATATCATATTTATTTTTATGTCATATTAAAGAACTATTATTAAGCTACATAATAAAATTTAAATTATTTTTCTAACTTAATTATTTCTCGAGATATTTGAAAATAAATGAGGCACTTTTTGTCAAAAATGTACCATTTTTCCGCGCTTTAAACGCCCATATCTTAGCGGGTAAGCCTTTTTGGGAGGTAAAATTTCATTTTTTTCTTAGTTATAGTATATACCACCAGTATGCAAAATTTAAAAAAAATTGAAAGGGGTCGGGTTGAAACCTTGGTTGATTTGATATGGAATTCACCATATATATTAATAATATATTAATGCATTCTACTTAGTAAATATTATAAAACGGTTAACAACTTATATACTATATTATAAGCAAATAATTAATATTATGAAACCATCATCTATGAGCGGTAGGTAGAAACATAAAACTATTGACTAAATATTTAATTAACAAATTTCCAAAATTTAAGACTAAACAAATATAATTGCTAAAGTATAAAAATACATGATAAAACAAATATTCTCAATACGTACATAGTTATTTGGAGATGAGGAAACCTGTGAGGGTTAGTCTATAAGATAAGATATAAATTAGGTATGTATAACAAAGGCCTGACTAGGCTAAGTTTTAATTAATATAAAAGCCTCTCTTTTAATAATAATAAAAGTGGTGGGTGTCTTCTTACTGACCCATCGACAGTTGCTATTGTAAGTCGGGTTTTTAGAAAAACAATTATATATCATTGGGCCTCGTTGTGTCTTTGGGCTATTCTTTTCAAGATGGCGGCCGAAGATATACCTTCACTCGGTTCATCGTCGTTCTCTATATTACGTAAATTACGAGAAGACCAATCAGATCCTTTTATTTTGATGGTGGCAGCTGGAACTTTGAAATCGTGTGACGTAGAAGCGGTATCACGGAATATGTTGCGCGACTTTGTGGGTAATGATGACATCCTTTTAAGTGGACGGGAATCGAGTTGGGAATAAAATAACTCCTCTTGCGTCAATAACGGTTGCTTGATCACCGGCATTTTTTGAGGAGTGACTTATTTCATTAGTTTTTTTTGTAAAAAAAGAAAATTTTAATTAAATCATTCTTAATCACGTAAAAAAAAGATCAAATTTGAAATGGTACAAGCGTATAAACTAATACCTTACAGTTTGAAATGATACCCTCCAAATTTAGATGATAATTTACACTATAAAATTAGAAACAAAGATCTACCAATAACACATTTCTGCCGATATAGATACTTACATTTTTAAAAAATAATGGTGAATTTTTTTAAATAGAGTACTCAGGATTAGGCATGGCAGTTACCTCAAAAAGTGTTCATGGTTCCGTTATGATTATTCGGAATAAACGGTTACAAAAAGTTCGTCGTTACATAATTAAAAATAAGAATAAATGAAGATCGAAAAATGTGATAAAGAATCTTATCGATTCATTACTTTGTAAAGTCTAAAATAAAAAGGAGTATAAAGTATAGGGAAACTAGTTTATTAATATTTGATTGTCTAAATTTAATATAACAATCAAATATTATCATCTTAAGCATATGATAATAGTGTTAAATTTCTTAAATAAAACATCATTTTTGTCTTCTGTTTGGTTTATTAATTAATTTATAAACGAAAATAAGGGTTCTATGGAAGAGTAAATTTATATAGTAGCAAATAAATATTTATCTGATTTCAAATTATATATGGTGAGGCTAAAAATATATGATTATTTCTCGATGATATGTATTCATAGGCGTAGCCAGGGGGGGGGTGACAAGGAGAAATCCCCCCCTTCAGAAATTTATCACTTTTTGTGAATATCATTTTAAGCTAATAAAAAATACCCCCCTTAGTCCTCCCCCAACTCCCTGACCCCCCAAGTATGCATATATCTTAAATAATAATTTGAAAGAAAGAATGTAAAAGTTGATATATTTTTAAGCTAAAAATATTCATCATAATTTATACATTTTTGGAAAAAAAGCATTTATATATAAAAAAAGTGAACCAAAAATGTTTTTTAAGAAATGGAATACAAACCAAAGATAAGTCTTAAGACAAAAGAGAAATGTATTATAATTATTAATAATAGATCATAAAATTACTAAATAATATAATATACAAATATAATTTTTTTATAGAGTAATTTTAATTTATTTATCTTAATAAAAGTAAAATATATTTATAAAACTATTGATAAAATTAAATCATAAATTAAATAAAAAAATTAAAGCACAATACAAACAGTGGAATATTATATGCCGTAGATTTAGAGTATATCTAATTTTATCAATTATCATATGACAATCAAATCATTTATACCAATATAGCGAATTATATATTTTACAGAAAACTATAAAATATTGATAAGGACATCAGAAAATATCTTTTAGATTAATTTTTAATATTTAAAATAAATAGATAGCGTTAAATAATTGAATGCAATTGTTGCTATATTATTTATCAAGAGCATTGATTAGTAAAATTTGTTAAAATATTAACTGTAATATATTGTCTAATTGTCAAATATGTATGTAAAAGTGGAATTTTATCTAGTATTTTATAACCAGTTCTATATAATAGAGGAATATCAACTATATGTCTATGTCTACTTACTCTTTAAAAATAAATTTTCTTAAACTTGTTTGGAATAAATTATTACCATGCTTTTATATTAACGTATATACAAGTAATTTATTATATTTTATATAAACAATAAAAATATATTTCATTTGTTCCAGGCTTATTTTTTTTTATAAAATTAACCTCCTATCTTGTAAAAATATTTTATGATGGCCCGGCCCGGATATTTTAAAAAAAATTTTTTACGGCCCGGCCCGGATTTAAAAATTTACCCGGCCCGGATATTTTTTAAAAAAATTTTCGGAATTTTTTAAAATTATATTCGACCTGGTATATACAAAAATTCACCTATGAGGTATTTTACCATATTTTTCAGCGAGTATTATCGCTTATTATTTAAAAAATACATGTAAAAAGCTAATATTTTGAGAATATTATATTGAATTTATAAAAATTATAAAACTGTTATTTATAAAAATGGATATTTTGAGTATATACTATATTTTATATTGCATTTATAAAAATAAAACTAATATTCATAAAAATGGTAATAATATTTGTCATATACTATATTTTATATTACATTTAAAAAAAATAAAACTAATATTTAATTTATAAAAATGGAAAATATTTTGAGAATATAATATATTGTATTTAATTTACTATTTAATTTATAAAATAAAAATAAATCGCTATTTAAAAAAATGCATGTATAATAAATAGTATTTTGAAAATATAATCTAAGTGCACAATATTAATATAATTTATTTTATAATATAAATTTTTAACAAAAGAAGATAATTGTATTATATAATATTGTAAAAAAAAATAATGAAAAATGTTGGATTAAAAACTTTCATGACTCAAGTTAAATATAATAAATGCAATAAATATTTGACAGTTTGCAAAGTAAAAAACCAGCATGATTGACGAAACCCTATACTCAAGAAAGCTATTAAAAATTCACAAATTATCATGAAGAAAGAGAAGCATATCTACCTTTTCAGGTTGAAGATTACTTCTTCTTTCTTCAAGAATTCTACCAGTAGTGGAAAAATTCCGCTCACAGCTTGCACTTTGATGAGCAGCCCACCACTCTAACAAATTATCCACCTTAAATGTTTTATCTATTAGTTATGTAATTATAATATTCATCATCGGGTATTGACATATTACCAGAATTACCATCGCCCCATTTGTCATAAAACGATTCAGTTTGTTTAACAACAGTCGTAATTTGACTGGTCGATGGTATTTCATTTACTTCCTGAGCCTCTTGTAATTTAATATAATCTTTTATATAGTTTTCCGTCATTTTGCGATCTGTCCCTTACTACATACGTAATTGCTTGAATTTGGGACAGAGAAAAAGAGAAATAAAATGATACTTGTGTAAAACAAATTTTTCAATTAAAAAATGTTTTATATTAAGTAAAATCAATTACAAACTTTAAGAAGTGATAATCCTTTATTTGATTGTTTTGGTAAAATATATTCTAAAAATTTAGATATGAATTATAAAAAAATATATTAATAATACTTGAATATTAGGGCTTATTTAAGATATTCCTTTATTTGATTGTTTTGGTAAAATATGTTGTAAAAATTTAGATATGAATTATAAAAAAATATATTAATACTTTGAATAAATTAGCAGGAAATTAATAATTAGATCGATCTGTGGGTTGTTAGGTAGTGTTAACCATCATCCAATATTATATTAATCATAACTATAATATAATATAATCTTATAACCATTAACTCATAATGTAAAAATTTTTATAAAAAATATTAAGGCCCGGCCCGGGTTTAACAATCTTAAGCCCGGCCCGGCCCGGATATATTTAAAAAATTTAAAATACGGCCCGGCCCTGCCCGGGTATAGGGCCGGGCCTGCAAGTCTCTGTATATAGACTAAGGTAACCCGGCCTAAGCCAGGGCAAAAGCGGGCCGAAGGCCAGCCCAAAAAGAGGTCTGGGGGCGAAGCTTCAGAAATTTTTAAATTCCCCCCCCCCCTTAGGAAAATCTTGGCTATGCCTATGTATGTATTGAATTGTTGTTTTGTTTATTTTCATTATTATATATTATCATATGAATTTGAATAACAAATTAGATTATTTTTGAGATAAAATAAATTTGCGAGAATTCTATTACTACAAAAAATACAAAAGATTTATATATTTCCATAATTAATAAAAAGACACTACATTCGACATTATTCGAACTCTTTGTAGAATATAACTTTAATTCTGGAATAAAAAAAATCATTTTTAATGGCTGTATGCTGTAAACTAATATAATATGCAGCCACTCTAGTGTGTCGTATTTTGGGTTAAAACATTTTTATCATTATAACTAAAAACCTACTAGAGGGTTCTGAAATTTCTTCATTTGAGGATACATAAATTTTTTACTAAAACAACTTAAATTTATTTATAAAATAAAAATTAAACAAATACGTTTCCAAAATTATTATTTCTCATTTTAATGTTAAAATTTCTAATATGGGAGTTTTACGTGTTGGGCGGGAATCTCCCGATGATAGGTGTTGTTTAGTTTATGGCGGTGAAACATGGGCAATGATAGTGTTGTTAAACGGCTCGTTTTGAGTCGATTTTTAAAAACGGCTAACTCAATATTTTATCCAGAAAAATATTACGTAAGTCTGAAAATTCTGCTCATAGAAGGAACAAAGGTTTAGACATATATTATCGAAATCTCGAGTTAGGCAATATTTTTCCGGCTAAAATATTGAGTTAGCCGTTTTTAAAAATCGGCTCAAAAAGAGCTGTTTAAGAACACTAGGCAATGAAAGTGGCTGATGAAAGCTAAATTAGAAGGAATGGGGATGAGGATGATTAGAAGGATGTGTGGAATATCTCTGAGAGAAAAACTAGCAAAGACGGGAATAGAAGTGATTTTGATAATGAGAAGAAATAATGGTTTGGGCATGTAGAACGTAAGAAAAAAGATGACTGGGTAAAGAGATGCATTTTGATGGAAGTATGAGGATCAAAACCTAGAGGAAGGCCTAAGATGACGAGGATATGAGAAAAATGAATCCTACAAATATTCTAAGGACCGTCAAAAATGGAGAAGGAAAATCAGAGGGGAAACTGACTTACCTGGGTAAACCTGGAAATCGCCATTAAAAGGAGAAGAAGTCTAAAATATTCTTAACAAAAAGTAGAGGTATCTTTTGTAATTTTAATAATATACTTGTATTTAAGGGCCTGCCTATTATGTATTTCCACCAATTTTAGAACTACAGCACTGAATCTATGGAAACATAAAGGTAATAATTTTTCTTATCCTTTTATAATTCATAGGAGCCTGTCAAAGTAGAAACTAGGAGCTTGTGAAGATGATACCATTCTAAGTAACTATTAAGGTAATCATTTTTATTAATTATTATCTTAATATTATTTATAAATATGTTGTTTTAAATTTGTGGAATAT